GGAAATGATATTTGTTATCCATTATTTTGTTTTATTATGTATATTCAAGCAATAAATGTGAAAATAATAGAACCTATTATGTCATATAAAAAATTAGAGCAATTTCTCTGACTCGACCGTGCAATTTGGTCCGCTAAACAGCCTACCATAAGGCTTCTTATAATGATTTAAATTGTTAATTTTATTGTCATTTATACATTGGCCATGCATAAAAAAAGAAAAGAAAAAAAGAAAGACAAGAAAAGAAAAAAGAAGAAAAGATTGATTTAATAATTATAAACACATCTTGCATGACATTTATATGCAAAAAATGACAATAAGTATGAGTTTAAAACAAACCATTTATTTAGGACAAATTACACTAGCAATCCTTACATTTTGTTTATTATGTCATTTTGATTCCTATATTTTCAATTGGTTTAATTTTGACATTTCATTTTAGATTTTGTATCAATTTGGTCTAACTGATTATATTGTTAGGATTTTTGACAAAAAATAATCACTAAGTTGGTTGAGATCTGCTCATTGAGTTGATCATGTTTATAAATTTTCTCCTAAAAGCATGACACATGTCGCTCATGAGCAATTTTTTTATAAAAAAAAATGCTAACAATTATAATCAATTGAATCAAATTAAGGCAAAATTATAAATTTATGATCAAAATTGAATAAATTAAAATTACATGAATCGAAATAACTCAATGACCCAAATATAAGGACTATTATAATAATTAAACTATTTATTTATTTGCATACAATGTGATGTATAATATATTTATAATTATGATATCAATTTGATTTTTATGTCTGACCTATGTGTGTAAATTTACAAAATAAATAATTCTCATTATGAAAGTAGAGTCGTGATGAGCTCACCAGGCCAATTGCACGGTCCAATCCACCATTGTAGATGATGATTTATTTCGTTACAAAAATTAAATCTTGATTTTTTTTAGTTGTAAATTTTCCATTTTTTATGTCTTTTTTATTAAATGTATTGAGCCATTTAAATAAATATTTGAATTTAAAGTATTAAAAAAATCTATTACTAAAAGACCTATTTTGAGAATTAGATTAAAAGCGAGCTTATTAGCCTTTTGACTTTTTTAAGTCACATTATCTTTTTATTTTTTATATATTTTTTTAAAAAAATTAAAAAATTAACTTTTAACTAATTTCTCAAAATAGACCGATTAACCTTTTTAACCAATGTTTGAATTTAAAGTATTAAAAAGTCTAGTAATTTTCCCATTTTTGTTTTTTTGTTGTTATTTTTTAATTTATCATGCAATTAAATAATTTAAAAATAAATATATACATTCTTATAAATTGATGGGCCGGGTCGGGCCACCTACTCCCTCAATCCATGGGCTTTTTCCCAAACTAAGCCTCTTTTGCCTCTTATTTCCCAAACTAGGCCTAGTTTTGACGGAATTCCCAAACTAAGCTAAAGCGCTATTACAAATCGCGCTTTAACTGTTTGGAGGCCAAAATTTGATGAATAGTTAAGGTGCTATTGTGAATCGCGAGTTTAATTAATAAAACGCTGTTAGGAATAGCGATATTAGCCTCAATTATAAAACGATTCATTTGCTATTTTTCCCACCTCAATTATAAAACGCTATTCTGAATAGCGCTTCATTTTCTGATTGGTTTAATAAAGAAAACGCTATTACAAATAGCGAGTTCACTTATGAATAAAACGCTATTTCAAATAGCAATTTTAATTGTGAATAAAACGCTATTTAGAATAGCGTTTAAACTGTTTCACTTTCCTGGTGTCACTACAAAAAAATTCACTTTTAGCAGCCGCCAAAACTATCGCTAAAAGCAGAAAGAAGCGTCACTAAAAACTAAAAACCTTTACCCGCGGTTGAAATAGCGACAGCCAAACCGCCGCAATAACCCCGTCGGCATATCCTTATAGTGATGTTTTCCTCAAACGCTGGTATAGTTATTTTTATTGCGACGATCGATGTAGTGACAGTTATAAATGTCGCTATATCTTAAATTTACCCATTATTTGCTAACTTTATAGTGACGGGTCAACTGCTGCTATATCTTTCACTTTTTGCGACATTTTGTGAACCGCTGCTATATTTTAATTCTTTTCCATCTGTTTTACACTGTCGCTATAGCCATAAAATTCTTTTTGTATTTTAGTTGCAGCGACGGTTATTAATCACGGTTATAGGCTATGTTTACTATTCAATTACCAATAATATATAACTTGAAATTTTTAATGATTTACTAACCATTAATGGTTGTCTCGCACTTATCCCTGCTCACATTATATATCTATGAAAACACTATTTTATTCTAATGGCTCAATACTCAATAATTGTAAAAGGTAAAAGAGTCTGCATTTTCATAATCCCAAAATATCCAAAACACCTTAATTAAAAGGTTCATTACATAAGCCTGTAATACAAAATAGATCCAATATTTCTAGCAAACTAATAGCCCACACCATAATCTAAAAGGTACATATAAACTTGTCACATGACAATAGTACTCAAAAATATTACTCATGACGCCATTTTATAAAAACCTCCATAAAAAAATGTTCAAATCGAAAAATGACATCCACTGTTTGATGCTTTCATATTGTCTTATTTCCTATAATAAAAATGATTGAATGAGCATAAGTATCATTTTCAATTTCAAAATCTATAAAGAAAATTTAGACTACAAATAATTCTCGACAAGTTTTATTTTTTTGGTAAGTATGTGGTTTACATATCAAAAAATAAAGATTACAATGAAGTTGAAGATCATATTTGCATATTAAGATAGATCAGCCTTTAAGAGAGAACAACAGCAAATGGTTAGATTGGCCGTATCAACTGAATTATTCAAGTTGGGTTACCCAACAACAGAAGGGATCAGAATAAACTGAGGGCATATTTGATTAACTGGCATACTGCAAATAATAAATAAATTCAATGCCCAAAAATAAAAAAGCAACTCCAATGAAACTACTAGGTTCATTTGCTGCAATTTGAATTTGATCAATATAATGTCTACAAATTACTTTCTAAAAAAGAAGACATAACAACAACAACAACAATAGCAAGAGATAAAACAGGGTTGAGCAATCAGAGAATTAACAATTGAATCAGCCAGGAGGGGTTTTCAATAACAATCGAACAATAGTATGCTCCATTTGTTTCCAATTAAATAAAATAAAAAAACACAATATTGGAAAAGCATCTAAAATCCAGCTTAAAAAAAATAGAGACTATTTGAGTTTTTAAAGTTGAAAAGCCAAAAAGAAGAACTAATCCCCCTATTTTAAAAGTGCACTGTTTAAGCACATTCTTTTAAGCTAAATATGCTGCAGATTTTTTTTTTTTTAAACAAATAGGGCGCATCTAAGTCTAACCCAGATGAATAACAAATTGTCCTGGATAACCAAACTAAACAGGACAACAATAGTCAAGATATTGTGATTAATAGTAATCACTGACATAAAACACTATCTAACCCAGATGGGACAGTGGAGGATCAATTCAAACATCAAAGGTGAAGAAAGTGCAGCACCAAAACCTCTTGCACTGTAAAACTAAGATAATGACTAGTTATCCTAGGAAAGCAATCTAAGAGGTAGTAAAAAGCTTTAGTTGAAGCCTTACCCGGAGACCCGACAACACGAATCAGACTTCAATTAAATTCCAAGTGTTAAAGACCTGCAGGGAAAAGCTGGTTACAAGGATCATTGCCATTTGAGTACGAACAAGTCACCCAATTGCATCCACTAAGAAAATGGTAAATCAGTGATGATCATCCTTGTGCCAACTGTCTTTACATGTGGGTTAGCAAGTTGGGACAGAAACATACAATTGTGTAAAATCTATTTTTCAACATGTCATTTGGGAATATTCACACCCCTCAACAAAATCATAAAAGCTCTCAAGTATGACGTGGTATAATATTTCATCTAGCCCCACCATTTCCCAGATCAACCCTACTCAAATCAATGGAAATTCAAGGCCAAAAATATAAGAAACATAAGAAAGCAAAAATAAATTGGATAAGAATAGTTCCTTTGTTAACTATAGCTTGTAATTTACAAAAGCAAAAGAAAAAAAATAATAACAAAAAGAAAAGAACTAATCCATGCTGCTATAACCAGCGTCCACAAAATAAAGTTCAAGCTAATGCGGAAGCCTAGAGTCATGGACATGTGTAGAAGCTACATTATGAAACTGTGTTGATGCCACATTATGAAACATGGTTGGCACTACATTATGCAAATATGCTGGCACAAGATCATGTAACATACTATGAACGTATTCCTTACTATATGCATTGGATGAGTTTCAGTCTCGGCTCCAAGAACTGCAAAAGGAAAAGATAATTTATTTCATATTGTTCGATTAACATCAATTTGACTAACTTTCATACCCACTGAGTCAATGAATTTTGGTTGATTATTTGATCTGGTGGCAGAGTAAGAGGTTGCACAAGGTCCTTGAATTTGTATCAAATACCTGCTGTTTAAATATTGACTTGTTTTTTGTTGTCAAGGCTGAGGTGGCAGTTGAAAGGCTTGATCAACTAAAAGCTAGCAGGATGAAGGAAATTGCTTTAAAGAGGCAAACTGAGGTTGAGGAGATTTTTGGATAAGGTTGAGAAATGGATAAGGTTGAGGAGACTCTCAGCAGGAGGAGACTCTCAGCAGGATGGTCATTTTTAATCACACTTTTTAAGTGTCATTAAAAAATGCTTTCATCACATCTTTTAAGTGTGATTAATAACTAATAAAATCTGTGATAAAAAAAAGGTGCTACATATTTGAAAAATAATCAATATTATTTTTGTATGCACATTTGAATAATGTAATACACACTATATACTATATTTTGAATCATAACCACATATTGAATAGAATAACGTCATATATTTCATAAATGGAAATTAAATATTCAAAACTATATACAAAGGAATTAAATAAAAAAAATTATCTGTGCTTACATATATTAAAAAATGAAAAAACTTAAAAAACTAAGTTCTTTAATTCTTGGACCATATTTTGCATCCCTCCAAAAAATTTCTGACCTGAAAAATGAAAACACAAATTAATTCAGAAACCGCTGATGCATATGAATAAACTAAAAAGTTAATTCAGCAAACCAAAATAAGAACATTAATCATTTCTACTTGATCTTAATCATTTTGGAAGCATAAAAATGTAACTTAGAAACACAGATGGCAGCTGCAAACACACAAACCATTTAAGCATGTGTATTTCATAAGCAATGTTCTAAAAATAATAATTCATTCTAACTTAGTCTGCATTGTTTCAAGGTAATAAATCCTCTGCATGATGACTTGAGTGATCTCGTGAATTAGTTTGTCATGGATTACATTGTAAAGAGAGAAACCACCTTTACATTAACACCAAGGATGCAAAATATGGATGACCTTTATAAAAATAACCAAGTATTCAACAGAACTCTACTCTGAAAATTTACATTGTACACTTATACAGGTTCTGGTCATATATAACTTTAAACAAAGTTTCAAAGGAAAAGAAACCACAAATGTGCCAATAACATTAATTAGAGCTTTTGAGTTAAATAAAATCTTGGTAACAGAAAAAAGGATAAAGTGTATAAAATTCTCTGGAAAGAGCAAGAATGAAACATTAACCAGAAGGCAAAATCTCAATAGGTAAAATTCCTGCATATGCCCATTAAACTACATCTTACTCAGGCATATGGATAGCAAAACATAAAGCCTTTATGCAGCACATACACATCAAAAAATTATTAATGGATATAGATGCAAAAGCATAAAATTAGTGTTTGAGAGAGAGAGAGAGAGAGAGAGAGAGAGAGAGAGAGAGAGAGATAAGCATGTTTAATCCACCAGTTAATTATGAAGAAGAGATTCTGCAAATCAAATCCACAACATACTTTCGTGGTCTTAGCTTCTTTTTAGCTTCCTTTGACCGCATTTTAACATGGTTTTTAGTCGATTCATCCAAGACACGCTGCACATTCAGCTTGCGCCAGGCACACCCTGATTCAACACCACTACAAAAAAATTCACTTTTAGCAGCCGCCAAAACTATCGCTAAAAGCAGAAAAAAGCGTCACTAAAAACTAAAAAACCTTTACCCGCGGTTGAAATAGCGACAGCCAAACCGCCGCAATAGCCCCGTCAACATATCCTTATAGTGACGTTTTCCTCAAACGCTGGTATAGTTATTTTTATTGTGACAGTCGATGTAGTGACAGTTATAAATGTCGCTATATCTTAAATTTACCCATTATTTGCTAACTTTATAGTGACGGGTCAACTGTTGCTATATCTTTCACTTTTTGTGACATTTTGTGAACCGCTGCTATATTTTAATTCTTTTCCATCTGTTTTACACTGTCGCTATAGCCATAAAATTCTTTTTGTATTTTATTTGCAGCGACAGTTATTAATCACGGTTATAGGCTATGTTTACTATTCAATTACCAATAATATATAACTTGAATGGAAGAGAAAAGACTTCCGAGGAGAATCTTCGTTTTAATGTACATTCACAATGGATAGTGGAATAGTATTCAAATGGACCATACATCTATATATAGCAATTTGATAGTGTAAAGAAGTTCCATTTTTTTATGAGCCGCCATAGATATTGAGCCAACTTTGAATAGCATGTAAAATGTGTGACAGGATGACAACATGCACGCTGTCTGTAGATGTGTCTCAAGAGACCTTTACAGTGATAATTTTAGAAGGCAGATTTTGGATCAAAAAAATATATATATAGAAATAAATAAGGAGAGAGTAGAAAAAACAAAAATACACCCACATATACATCAATGTCTCTCATCTCTGTTCCCTAAATTTATATTCATATGCATAGCAAATAAAAATATATGAAATATTTTTTCTAGTATCCATGCCATGTTAGTATTCTAATTTTTTTGAAAATCGATGTTGTCTGTGTTCGTACTAGTGTCCATGGTAGCGTTTTAAAGTGTGATGCAGATCTACAAGAGGCATATTAATTGTAAGATTCCCCAAACCTTTTGCAGGAAAATGCATAATGATATAAAACTCACCTGCAACATACAAGAAATAGCAGGTAACCATGTAATACTTGATAAAGCCGCTCACAAGATGATAGAAGAATTTCTCAGAAGTAATAGTGTTGGCAAGCCGTTGGTTGAGAATGCGGCCATATACAAACAGCATAGCAGTGAAGAAAAAATGCCTGTTGAAATTAAAAGCAAACAGAAACAATTTGTCATATATAGCAATCAAACTCACTTGGAGATCATTGACAGAAATTTTGGATGTTAGTGAAACCCAAAAACAGGGCAAAGAAGGACAAGCTGGCCGTTGAAAGATACAACATGTTTGTTACAAATTATACAATTGTGTCAAAATTTGGTTCACTTAGAATTTAAATAAATTGAAAAAGCTCATTAGTTGTCATTCATTTAACTAATGAGCTTTCTCCAAGAATAGCTCTCCTAGATAAACACCACACTTCAGTTGACAGTTGAACATTGACAAGAATCTGGTTTAACATACCAATTCAACAACCTAAATCCTGGGAGGTCCCTTTCTTCGTGTCCTTTCCTGAGTAGATTGAACAACTCTTTTATCATAAAAATTTGGATAACCACGACCATGGCCCAAATATAGAGATGGCCCATGTAGATTATGAATATAAAGCCCCCAATCATCCAAATAGATGAATATGTGCGAGTCAACATTGATCTGTATTTGTTTTGATCATTAAGAAGTAAATGGCTTCCATTTTCTTTGCCAACCTCAGGAGTAACCTCACAGCCAAAAGGGAAAAAAAAAGGAAGAAAACATTAAACCTGACATTTAGAAGAAGCCATACACTCCTTTCAAGATTTTATCCATTTTGTTATTGTAGTAGGTAACTATTAAAAAGTTCCTAAAAAACAACCACTTCCAACTATGTCTTATTCGGAAAAACAATAGTGATGATTTCAAGAGGCCTTGAGCCCCAACAATAAGATAGATGCTAGTTTTTCCTCAATGAGTACTAATGATCAAGTTTCATAAGTTTAACCAATAATAATATTTAAGAGTTGAAAAATATGGAAAACAATTGAGACCCCTAAAAAGCATCCCCTTATTTACCCACAATGACATGGCAGGTTACACATCAACTTTTCATTTGTCACAAACTAAACCATATAAAGCCCAACTCCCTTGCCATGTCTTTAAGGTAAATTGTGGGTCTCTAGCATTCCTCAAAAATCATTTGCAAGCAACAGGGACAACTACAGTTCTCTACAAGAGATTGTTTTTTTATTTTTTTTTTATCAGCACTCTATAAGAGATTGCTACAATAAATAAATGGTAAAACTAAGCTACCAATCTCATTTGAGCGCCTATGGTGCCAAAGCTGTCCAGTGGGCACTGCTGTGGCACTGCCATAATCCTTTTGCATGGCTCTTTGATTTATTTTTTACTCAACTAACAAGAAATAAGAGCATAAATATGTTTATACACAGATCCCCTGAAACATTTAGACAAAGAATGGTAAACATGAGGTAGGCATATGATATTCTTAATACCATTGTAAATTCAAAGAAAAAAGTTGAGGGCAAAATGATTTACAAAGTCAAACCAATATTTTACAAGAGCCACCTAATGACATCGCTCAAACTTGATTTATGGGGATTAACGTCATGTAAAGGTGTCAATACTGCAAGGTTGCTACCCAGATTCTTTGAGTGTGGGTTGAGTGATGGAGCCTCTAAATTATTTGCTATTTTAGGTTGCTTTAATCTCATTATCCTGCTATCATTTCAGAGAGTTATATCCTACTGTGGGTTGAGGGCTCAAGCTATCAAAATGATTGAGGTTTGCTGCAGGTCTTATTATACCAGGGCTCTACCTCAGGCCTCTACACTGTTTTCAGTGTTGAGTGGTGCATATATTGTGGGTTGAGTGATGCAGCCCCTATATTGTGAGACTTATTTGAAAGTGTTATGTATATTATTTATTTATATAGTTCACATCTATGTTCTTGGTGTTTCCACTCTGTGTTAATCAAAATGGAGACCAGCTATGTGCTACCCAGATTCTTTGAGTGTGGGTTAAGTGACGGAGCCTCTAAATTATTTGCTCTTTTATGTTGCTTTAATCTCATTATCCTGCTATCATTTCAGAGAGTTATATCCTACTATGGGTTGAGTGATAAAGCTATCAAAATGATTGAGGTTTGCTGCAGGTCTTATTATACCAGGGCTCTACCTCAGGCCTCTACATTGTTTTCAGTGTTGAGTGGTACATATATTGTGGGTCAAGTGATGTAGCCCCTATATTGTGAGACTTGTTTGAAGCAGTGTTCTGTATATTATTTATTTATATACTTCACATCTATGTTCTTGGTGTTTTCAGGCTATGTTAATCAAAGTGGAGACTAGCTATGTGCTACCCAGATTGCTGTGTTACTATCTGAAGGAACTAGGAGGACCAGGCAGCCATGGGCGCCAGTCCAAGTGGAGATCTTCACAATGGAAAATCCTATGTCTTTACTTTTACTTTTGTTTTACACTTTTATCTATTTGGGCTATGTACACATTATATATGGGTGTTATTAGTTGTTTCCATGCCTATCCCTACGGGCTGTGTAGGGGATCATTACCTTTTTGAGTGGTGTCACATATGCCATGATGCCAATTACCTATTGCTGTTACCCATATTGGTTTGCTGCTTGGCTGTCTTCTTCTATCTACCAAAGACAATGCTCCAAGCATGATGAGCATGAGGTTTTGCCATCTAGTGGAGTGCTGGAAAATCTTCAGTGTTCCTCTTGAAGTGGTGAATATATTATCTTTTTAGGAGAATTGTTGAATAAGGGGGATGAAAAACAGGGTTCTTTAGAGGTCACACAATACTTTTGAAAAACCAAATTGTTTCTCAAACTGTCGTTTAACATACATTATCTAGTGAATATAGTGATAGTAAGCACCAAAGTTCATAGACTAAGTTATGCAATTAAAATAGAAGACCAAATTGTGTTTAGGAAAGGCTAATTCTCAATTTCTAAAAAAAAAAACAACAGGGGGTTATAAGGGGCTGATTTGATTAGATTCTGATTTTATTTTATTGTAGAACCAGTTGAGTTTGTGAATTTTTTAATGAGTTTGTTTTACAAAATATGGTTTTTTTTTTTTTTTAAAAAAGTAGTTTCATTCTGGTGTTATTTGGGGACCAAATATGCTGAAATATAAATTTGCTACAAATAATATATACGGGAAAAAAGTTAGCTGTAAATTTGCACTCCTGGTGCCATTTGTTAATAAAATTTTATGGGAATATTAGTTATTGGGAGGCTAGTCACAGTGCTTTGGCTGGTGCTATTTTTTCTTATTATTTTACTTTCATAAAAGCAATGACAATAAAAAGAGGCAACAATTTTCTCTAATCACATTATTAAGCGAACAAAACATTACAAACTGTGCATTAATTTCATTGACAACAATTTTCTCAAAAGGAAAAAAAAATAGAACAAACAGAACAAAAGTAAACAAAAATGTAGGCACTATTACTCCATTGTGGCATTTTATCAAATATCTAGCATACATAATAATTCCTTAAGCATGAGATTTTACTGTGTAGTATCAACAACAATCCATTCACTTCACTAATTACATTGGTTAAAATATGAATATTATAGATAATCAAATATGTGTGTGTGTGAATATCATAATCAGAATGCAAAGCATGTTAATCAATCTATTTTCTAAATTATTTTCCCAAATCAAAATCATTCAAGGTATTCATGAAATCCTTCAAAGTACAGAAGTTTTGGAGATTTTAACAATGAATTCCATGGACCCAAACTTGTCCGAAGACAGTGAGGGAGAAAGAAAAATTGAGACAGTAGAAGAAAGAGAGAGGGGTAGAGAGAAATCGAGAGACAGAAGAAAGAGGGAGATAGAGAAAGAGAAATAGAGAGAGTAGACTAACCATAAAATCAAAAGAAGGCTCTGATGCATCCTCAACACGCCGCGGTGGAGGATGAATGAAGGCTCTGATACTCAGCAAAAGAAGTGTTGATAGACTAGGGCACAAATTGTAATCAAGGAGAAAGAGTTGAACGGTTTTTGTTTTTTTTTTTTGTTTTCTGACTGAAATTCTGATATGTTTAAAAAAAAATTAAAAAAAATTCTGATTTCGCGCCAAATCAAAATTTTATTTGGCGGCCCTTCATTTTGTTTGGCTTTTTGTAACGTTTAAGATCAAACCGTCACTATAAAAAAATATATGGCAGCGCTTTAGGAAAAAAACGTTACTAAAAATTTTATTTTTAGTTTTGGTCAATAACCACTACAATAGCCCATCTATAGCAGCATTTTCCTGTAGTGTGTCATTGTTTTGATGATAATGTGATTCATAAAATTTTATTGGCTTTAAAGCCATTGTCATGTTAAAATTTATTTTTTTTTCTTTTGTTTTTGTTTTTGTTTTGGTTTAGAAGGTGTAATTCAGAAATTTTACATAATATGAGAAAAACCTCTTTTCATATATTTATTTTACATAATATTTTTCATATATATAATTTTAAAATCATATTCATTTAGATATTATTAAGCCAATCAAGTTCATTTACAAAAGTCATGGTTTCACTGTTCACTATTGTAAGCATGGATTGAAACCACACTTTCACTGTTCATTTAAATTAGATTTAATTTTTTTTTGTAAATATTTTTTTTTCTGTTGTCATTGTTTCGGTGATAATGTAATTTATAAATTTTGTTTGGCTGTACTGAAGCTGTTCTCATATTAAATTTTTTATTTTTTCTTTTGTCTTTGTTTTGGTTTAGAAAATGTAATTCAAAAATTTTTTGGTCTTTACCAAAGCCGTTTTCATGTAAATTTTTTTTGTTTATTGTTTTGTGTTTGTTTTGTGTTAGAAGGTGATAATGTAATTAATAATTTTTTTTTTCTTTACTAAAGTCGTTTTCATGTAAATTTTTTTTTTCTTTTGTCTTTGTTTTGGGTTAGAAGGTGTTATTCAGAAAATTATTTTGGCTTTACTAAAGCCGTTTTCAATACATATATATTAATCCTTTTGTCTTTGTTTTGGGTTAGAAGGTGAGAATGTAATTCAGAAAACCAGTTTAGTAAAACCATTTTGTACCCGTTTTCATTAAAAAAATTTATTTTTTTGTTTCGTCTTTGTTATGGGTTAGAAGGTGATTTGCATGCTCTACAGTCCGAAGCACACCCACACACTGTGCAGCTCGACGAGCAACGACGAAGGGTGAGACGCGAAGACCACCGCGGAGTAGGCCAAGAAGACAAAGGCCATAGCGAGAGCTCCTAAAATAAATTTTGTCAACATTTTTGTAATAAATCTTAATACATAATATACGAAGTCACTAATTTACTAAATACTCATACAAGCATGAAAACAACATAACTGAAGTTGCAAATGTAATAGTTTTCAGTTACATAGGTAGTACAGACATAATTCTCCCACAAAAATACATTCTGCACACCATGAACTGAACACATATTACATACATCCTGGACATCCTGAACTGAACACACAATACATAAACATAACAGTTGGACAGACAAACACATAATTCATGACCTAATATTGCATATTAATAGCCGCAACATTTGACAGACACAATACATAAACATAAACATAAACATAAACATAAACATAAACATAAACATAAACATAAACATAACATAACAGTTATACTTACTCTAACACAAACATTACATATTAATGCATGACCTAATATTGCCGAAGTGTAGACATTAACACCTAATTCGCGCTTAAATCGGCAGGTGGCTCAGAGTCTGAATAATCCGAAAGCTCAGCATCAGAGACAAGCTCAGGATCCTCCATGATACCGTTGATAGCCGCAACATTTGGTTCTGTTCTGTTCTTCTGAGCATCATTCTTAACTATGTATAGCTACATATCGCGGGCTAATCTACAACGTATTTGAGAAATCTCACGTTGTAGTCTTTCACATAGTCAATCAACATTATCAGGATCTTCCTTTTGGATCTCAATAGAACGTGCTTTTGGCACCTTCAGTCGATTTTCCCGACATAATCTTTCCATTTGCACTCGCTCTATAAATAGTGCAGACCACTTCAGAAGTCTAGCGTTTGCTAAACCATATCCTGTTTGATTATCTGATGGATCCTCCACCAAACCACATGGATCTCGATAGTATTTGGGCATGACAAAATGTCGCTTCCCAAACCTATCATGATAAGCACAAGAGGCATCTAACAAAGGAAATGTTGTTTCATCTTCAGCATTGTCACTTCCCCTTCCCCCTCTTCGTCATGAACTGTCACCCCTTTGCAAGTTCCTACCACCTCTGCGATTCCCACTCCCTCCCATGAACCATGTAGCCATGCTAATTTTTTAAAACAAATAAATGACAATTTCGTAGAGCGAAATGAGTTGTAAGGTTGTGTCTTCACCTTTAGCCGTTTTTATAGTTGGTTATGAACGGCTTTAGAAAGATGCCTCTGCATCACAATCCCACATATATGAACAAGGTATGAGTGTCACTAGACTGAAAAAACAGAGAAAAGAAAATACTGTGTACGAAGCCACGTGACTTGACAATCCATTTGCATATATGGACAAAATAAAGGCATGCTGACTGTAAGGTAAATCAGTGAATTCACTGTTGCCATGTGACATTCTGAATTGAGAATCCCACATATATCAATAAGAGATGAGTTGTCACTATAATTAAAAAATCAAGCAAAACATCAACTTGACCAAAGCCTGTGCACAAAGTCACATGACTTGACAATCCATGTACATATACGGACAAAATAAGGGCATGCTCACTGTAAGGTAAATCAGTGAATTCACTGTTGCCATGTGACTTTCCGAATTGAGAATACCACATATATCAATAAGAGATGAGTTATCACTGTGTATCAAATAATCGAGCAAAATATCGAGAAAACCAAAGC